CCTCTGGAGGTTCCTCTGGAGGAGCCTCTGGAGGTTCCTCTGGAGGACCTTCTGGAGGAGCCTCTGGAGGTTCCTCTGGAGGTTCCTCTGGAGGAGCCTCTGGAGGTTCCTCTGGAGGTTCCTCTGGAGGAGCCTCTGGAGGTTCCTCTGGAGGAACCTCCAGAGGAGCTTCTGGAGGACCTTCTGGAGGAGCCTCCGGAGGAGCCTCTGGAGGAGCCTCTGGAGGTTCCTCTGGAGGACCTTCTGGAGGTTCCTCTGGAGGTTCCTCTGGAGGAGCCTCTGGAGGTTCCTCTGGAGGACCTTCTGGAGGAGCCTCTGGAGGTTCCTCTGGAGGTTCCTCTGGAGGAGCCTCTGGAGGTTCCTCTGGAGGAGCCTCTGCAGGAGCCTCTGGAGGTTCCTCTGGAGGTCCCTCTGGAGGTTTCTCTGGAGGAGCTGGAGCTGGAGAGAAGAGCTGGTAGACGGAAGCTGCTGAGACGAGCTGCTGTCCACAAAGCGTCTGAGTCAGAGCAGAAACTGAACCTCCAGCTCTGAAAGTAGGTCAGCAGGTCGCTCTGCTGCTGGTTTCTGCAGCCCGCTGCACCAGTTCAGCTCCGAGTGCCGGGGGGGGGGGGGGGTCCATGATGTGTCAGGATAAACAAGGCTTTATTGTATTTATCATTTAGAACTCAGCGACGGCAGGATAATCGTTTAAATTTTAAATTTGGGTTTTTCTTAGTTTATACTGGACAATGGGGTGGAGTTGTGCATTCTAACTTTAGGATTGAAAGACGGGGAACCTTCTTTTAGTCTTTTTCACTGGGTCAGAACAGAATGCTTTATTTATCCCACAGTGGGGAAACCAAATGAATTAAGATTTGAGCATTTCTTTTTGGAAAGCTGTGGCTGGTTGTTATCTGCTGTCTGATGTCAGCTTTGAGGCCCCAAACAAACCCACCGGACACACGGCTGCTTTAAGACTTTTATTGGAAAAGCTTTGTGGAGTGAGGACACATTCAGAACTTTAAATACTGTAACACTATTGGACGAGCCACAACACCAGGCCGGACACCTCTGGGGACACGGTATAAATATTCAGTGTGGAAGTAAAAAAAGTTAAATAGAATATCAGTTTAAATACGTCAATAAATAGAATAAAAAATAGCTGAATGTGACTTCAGGGCCTCACTGGGGGGCTTCACTGGGGGGGGGGGGGGTCTCACTGGGGGTCGGGCTTCACGCAGTATTCATGCAGGTATGTGAAGAGGATGTCCACTTCTCCCAGAGCCTTGTTTATGCCACGCTGGCCCCCAATCTGCCACACACACACACACACACACATATTAGCAGTCAGATCAAACAAACCTGGAAAGTGGGGCTTCTCTCTGGGAGCCGGCCTCAGGTTTTCGGGGTCAGATCTCACCTTTTCCAGCTTCCTGCGGAACTCCACGGCGTTCTTGTGGTGGTGGTAGTGGTCCACGTTCTGCGGGGACACAGAGCGGCGCCGTTATCTCCCTCATCTGTCTACAGCTCTCCAAAACCACCGAAAGTCCCTATCGTTTTCTGGATCGACCACAGCGGCGCCACACGTCTGCTATCTGTAACCCGCAGGGTGCCGAGGAGCTGGAGGCCCCGCCCACCCCCCCCCTAAAACGGCGTCCGGCACTCACGCAGCCGCTGTCCTGCAGGTCGGCGCTGACCCGCTGCAGGTCGGCGTGCAGCCGGAGCATGCTGGGGCTCCGGCCCCCCCCGCTCTGCAGGATGTTGTGCAGGTAGTAGTCCAGGATGTTGGCTTGGAGGCAGCAGAAGCCCAGGTTCTCCTGCGGGAGGGGCAGAGGTCAGGGGTCAGGGGTCAGGGGTCGGTCTGAGGTTGTTGCCTCACAGGTCCGAGGAGGACTCACCTGTCTGTGGTCAGGTCTGGGGATCAGTCTGAGGCTGGTGTCCTCCTCCAGCTGCTGCCTCTGGGCCTGAGGAGAACGGCCGGGTCAGACCGGACTAAACCGGACCGGACCGGATCAAACCGGACCGGATCAGACCAGAACGGACCAGACCAGAACGGACCAGACCGGATCAAACCAGACCAGATCAGACCAGGACGGACCGGACCGGATCAAACCAGACCGGATCAAACCAGACCGGACCAGATCAAACCAGACCGGATCAAACCAGACCGGACCAGATCAAACCAGACCGGATCAAACCGGACCGGATCAAACCGGACCGGATCAAACCAGACCGGATCAAACCAGACCGGACCGGACCGGGGGCGCTCACCTCCTGGGACACCTCGGCGACGGCGGCGTGCAGTTGGGGGTCCCTCAGGGGGGGGCTGAGGCTCTCCCTCTGCGGGTGGGCCGGCGCCGGCTCCGTCCAGCCAATCAGGAGCAGGACGGCCAGCAGGCCGGCGGCCAGCCGGAGGGCGCCGGGGGCAACGGCGGTGGGCGGGGCAACCGAGAGCGGCATGTTGAGGCAGACAGATGTGGAACAGCCGGGAGGCAGAGGCAGGTGGTCAGGAGCTGGTCAGGAGCTGGTCAGGATCTGGTCAGGAGCTGGTCAGGATCTGGGAGGCTTAGGGTCTCTGGCTTCTGAGCGTGTGCAGGAACCTGTGAGCAGGTGCTGTGTGAAGACTTGTGTGCGCCCCGGGGCCTTTATACACACACCCTCCGCCCCCTCTGCCAGAATATAGGACATAAAAACCCCAGCCCACACACACACACACACACACACACACATGTGGTCAGAGCTGACCTGGTATCTGTTTACAGAGGAAATTGGCTGTCAGGCGAGGTGCAACAATTAATGAATGCATGTCATCAAATGGCTCTTTACAAGGCATTTCCCTGTGTGTGTGTGTTTGTCTGTGTGTGTGTGTTTGTCTGTCTGTGTGTGTGTGTGTCTGTGTGTGTGTGTGTGTGTGTGTTTTTCTGTGTGTGTTGTCTCTGGAGGATCACAGACTGGAACTGACTCTTTATTTTCCTTTAAGGAAAAACCGGCTCTTTATTG